AAGTCAATGTCAGAAGTCAACTTCACGCACGTACAGGAAGCATAAACACTAAGAAGCAGCAGCAGCAGCCAACAGCTCGCTGACAAGGCTGTCGAAATTCCCCTTTTTTCGAAATTTGCTTAAACGCAAACCGATAGTGGTTATATCTTCCTGGATTCCTATTTTCTCTTTTCCCTTTTTTCCTTCTTCCTGTTCCTTTTGCTTTCTTTTTTTCTTTACATTACTTTCTCTTTATCTACTAACTTTCAAATATACACGATTCATACAGGAACAAGCTTCTCTAATGGAGTACCGCAACTTTGGACCTCTCGAACAGCGCTAAATGCATTCGCACGACGACCGCCAGCCTCGTTTTAGGTGGTATTTCTGATTAAAAAACATAACGAAAAAAAAAAAAAAAACAATGTAAAACGCGTTAACAAAAAACAGCAGTTTTTAAACTGAAGCAATTTTTAATACTGAGAGAGCCTGATTATCTTTTTCTGCTCCAATGCTGCCAAGCTTATTTCCACAACCACTTTCATCTCTCCCTCGCCCGTTCCTTTATTTTCCTTGGCCTCCAGCAGTACCGGCTGCTCATCCGTTCGTACCCTGTTGCACCAGTCGAAGTTGCAGCAGCAGAAATCGATATGAGTTCTATTGCCAATTGTTGCGAATGTCGTGCATTTATGCACTGAACCATGTTTCGCCGTTAACTTAGTATTCGTCATTCTTCCAATCACTTGCTGAAAACTTTACTTTTTTCTTTTTTCCTGATTCAAAAAACCGGTACTGAATTTGATTCAGGATGGCTAATGAAAAAACCCAAGTACAAAAAGAGGGGTGTGCAAGTCAGCGGAAGCAAATTCGTAACAAGGAAGTACCATATCCATGCCCTCACATAGAAGTGCTAACATAGAAGTGCCATATCCATGCAAACCTGCTAGTCATATCGTTTTTTTTTTCTATAACAAATCAAGAAGATACCAAACAAAGGTCTCCTCGCTGACAGCTTCTCATCCGATTCAGAATATAGGTGGGATTTCCAACCGGAAATTCCTCCATCAGATAACAGTAATCCGAATCACACTCCTGATACTGCTGCTCAACAAAATCCGAATAGCATAAGAGACCTATCACTGGCTGTAGCAGCATAATGAGAATCTGGAATACTTCAGAGTGCAAATTCTGAAAACTAACGTACGCTGCAGCGAGTTATCGGCTCTTTTTCATTTTAATGATAACGGAATATTCGGCACTGTTGCGGAATAGGCCGGCGAGTCGCGAAGTCACGAAAAACCAGTGTCGATGAATGGAAATAAATGGCCAGCGCACCAACTGCCGGTGCGAAGATGTGTTTTTTGCACAGACCCCTGCAGTTTTTGTCGCTACCGGTTTTTTCGGCAAATGCATCTAGCTAACAGAATTGAGACTGGTCACCAGGGCTGTTTGAAAACATCCTCTTAAAATTCCAATCTACAAGCTTTTCAGGTTTCCGAGTTAGCAACTTACCCGA